CCCCTCCTCAATGTAACTGCATTACTTTGGACTAGGAAAGTATCCCCAGTGTTAGACACCTTTCAATGACAAAGCCAAGAAAAAATATGACAGAAATTTATTGCAAGTTTTTATTCTGTTAACATATAATTACATTGAAGTGGTACATTCATGTACTTTTTTGTTTATTCAAAATTTGTTGTTCACAAGCGATTGTTTTGTCTTTGCTGTACTTCCTGCCTAGAAAGGCAGCAGTGCACACATCTTATCAGCTGTGTGTAAACTACAAACAGATATCTTATCAGTTGTTTGTAAATAGCAAATAAAGAAAGTGGCTCAACTTAAAACTATTTACCCTCAGTTCAGTTATGTTTGTAAACCATGCATATTAATGAGATGCACTAGTTTGGTGTACACTGGATAAACAAAAACTTGGCCATTTGTTTGCACACAAGAAAAAAATCAGTTTACTTGTACAAGATATTTTTTTTTCAATAAAATAAAAACACCAATGTATGTAGCATGCCTTAGGGAGCTATTCGTGTGATTTTCAAAAAAAAATGTGAAAAGTGCCCAAAAAACTATTCTGCTACCTTAATATATATACATGTATAAATGCATTAAATTAAAGCTGCATTGTGAGGTCGATAACCTCTATGTGACATACACTTTTACATTTTGTTCACACTAAATTTCTAAGCTGTTCTGTGTGACAACTGTGATGCTTTAATTACTGTTTTATTTCTCTGTCAGTTTCTCACTCCAGGAAATCCTTCCAATAAACAAAATATGAATTATAAACCATTTTTCACACCTGGTCACACACCATTACGTACACCAAAGAGCTGCATGAGAGGCCGTGTAGTGGATGAAACTGCTGGCAGGATATTGGGCACCCCGGATTACTTGGCACCAGAATTACTTCTCTACAAACCACATGGTAAGGATTATACTGTAAAATGCTTTAATTTCAAGAGAAACTACTTTTCATTTATTCAGTGTCAAGTATTGTAGCTGTGTACTCTTCATTGAGGTTCTCAAGTTAACAGTTATTGTCGCTGCTTGTTCCCTGGTCACCACATTACTAAGTGTGTTTGTAACAGTAAGGGAGATACGACCAGTCATTCATTTGCTGTTTGCCTCAGGTTGCATTTAAATCATGGAAACAGCAGTTATATGATGGCTAACATTTTTTTTTTTTACTTGTTCAGGGCCAGAAGTTGATTGGTGGGCATTAGGTGTATGTTTGTTCGAGTTCCTCACAGGAGTTCCTCCATTTAATGACCAGACTCCAGATTTGGTTTTCCAGAATATCCTTAACCGAGGTAAATTAAGTTACTGTATGTATTCTGTACTTGTTAATCATTTTTTTTAATTAAAAACATCCCACAGTGAAGATAATGATAAAGATCTTGCCTTTAACTGTTATCCCACAAACCCTAATATTTTTTTGGCAGTAAATTCTGATATATTAAAAAACTGTAATTGACGGCGCAATTCATTTCACAATTTTATTTTCTCCAAAGAGACTTAATGTTACCTCTATTATGGCACATCAGCATTCTCCACAATCCAAAATAGCTGGTAGGCGGCCTAATTAGCATAAATTTTCATATTAATTTGCATACAGCATTCTAGCATTTATGTCATGAACTGCAATACACACTAAGTTATTTACTATTCTCTTTTTAATTTAATTGAAACATGTTACAATTTTTTTAAATACAAATAGATTGGTCACTATCAATATTTACGAAATGCAAAATGTTTGAAATCGATGATTTATACGTTCGCAAATTATTCTGCGTTCATGAAATGCAATTCGAGTAACCAAGAGTAAGTACAAAACATAATTGAGTTATAATGTAGAAAATATACGAGGTGATTTGTCCCGAAGCCAAAATGGACGATTTGTCAAAACAAAACCCATAACATTTTTATTTGTGGCATGCTAACGAAAAAATCTTTGTTTTCTACTGACTTCCTGTTCCGGTTCGTCAGTAAGAAACAGTACTCACCCATGCCGACAGACGGTAAGATGCATTTACGGATGTACGGTCCACAGGTGCCTGTGGTACGGTCATGATACGTTGCGTTTTCATACGTTGTTTTGGAATTCAAGAAAAAATGCTAGCAATCGGCAAAATAACAGAATCTGCTATGTTCTCGAAAGATTAGACATAAAAATGGATAAATTGAAAAAAGTACGTGGAAAAGATAACTAAAATATTAATCAATTACAAATACTCGGGTAAACTAATCCGGCAGCCATGTTTGATGTTTATTACCGCTTTCCGAATTCAGTACACGAACACCCAGAATGCGCTGTTCCCCTATGCAACTTAGATACTAAATCGTTACAGCGCCAACAGCGGTGGGTGGCCGACGGTCGTTGAATGGGGTAGGCCAAAAGATCACCAGTTTGCCTTCTCCATGCTGTTTTCAAAATAAGTGGCAACAATGTCAGGCGACAATAAATTCAGGCGATTGACACATTGCCATGAATACACTTGATAACTGCTTGCAGACTTCCAGTGGTCATTGTTTATGTTTGGACTTTTGAAACAATAGCCAAATAAAGGGTTTGGCAACTACTCTTTTGTTAAGCTTGGGAAGAACAATGCAAGCTTTTTACAAATAATTTCAGTGGATGTACGTTGGTGGGCGGGTGTTGAGAGTTACTAGGCGGCCGTAAAACTTGATGGGTGGGCTGCCCGCCTAAAACCCCTTGTGGAGAACACTGCACATGATGAACAAAAATTGTCGTTTGGATGTTTTTTTTTGCTCAACTATAAGTGCCAACCCCTAAAAACATGTGTTTTTTTATCTAAGTACCCTGGTGCCATTAGTATGGTATGTTGCATTTTATACATGCAGTGAGGACAGGAAGGAGCATTCACACAGGGCTGACATCATTTGTCCAACGAATGTCATTCTCCAAGCTGTGAATGCCTCCACGCTTGCAAGCAGGCATTGTTTTTCACTGAGGAGTGTACATCCACAGTAGTCAAACTTGTAATCTCCCGGATGCCGATCAGACACTCTGCCTTTTAATTCAAAAATTGCAGTGAAATAGCATCAACATTTGGAAAAGAAAATTCTTACTGACTGCTGAAAAGCAAATTATCCAATTTTAATTTCACAAAGTAGATTGGTTCCCTCAACTTGTCATTGGCAATTAGCCTCAGATATTATGGTATCCAAAGCTTTGTGTAATGTTCACTGTTCTTGTTTTTGTTTAGATATCCCATGGCCTGATGGAGAGGAGTCGTTAACGGAGCATTCCCAAAGTGCAATTGATTTGTTGCTGAATGTTGATCCTAGCAAAAGAGCAGACGCCAAATGTAAGTACTGGTACATGTAATCTGTTGGTGGTGTTCCAGGGTTCACAGTGTGTGAAATCTGTATGTAATCTATCGTTGGTATTCCAGGGTGTACACTGTGTGAAATCTGTATGTAATCTGTTTGTGGTGTTCAAGGGTTTACACTGTGTGAAATCTGTATGTAATCTGTTGGTGGTGTTCCAGGGTTTACACTGTGTGAAATCTGTATGTAATCTGTTGGTGGTGTTCCAGGGTTTACACTGTGTGAAATCTGTATGTAATCTGTTGGTGGTGTTCCAGGGTTTACACTGTGTGAAATCTGTATGTAATCTGTTGGTGGTGTTCCAGGGTTTACAGTGTGTGAAATCTGTATGTAATT